GGTGACATAAAAGGAGTGTATTTAGTCAATGCACGCACTGATAAACACAATTGTGTTGTCGAAGTAACACCAGGCCTAAAGGTCAACGGAAGTTGATACAAAAGTTTGTGTTTAGTAGAAATAATGCGGAGGTGGGTAAGTCAGAAGAAAGACCATAAATAAAAGTAAAATGCTTTGTTTTGCAAACAGTCAGTGTCTACATGGGCATGTGAGATGAAGAAGACTGGCATGCTGAGCAAAAGTTACACTTTGCTATGCCATATGTTTCTTGGCATCCTGTGAATACTTACGAACAAGAATTGCCCTGAAAAAAAGAATTCTTGTCAAATTTTGTAGTAACTTTTCGATGCTGGGTTTCATAACCGCATAATTTTAAGGCACTACGAGCTATAAGTCGAGATCATCGTCTAGATCGACGACTTACAATTTCTCGACATATGGAGTTTATACGTTGCTGCCAAATGTTTTTTGCTCGTGTTTCTTCAAATAGCCTAGCCATGTTTATTTATGTTAAGATCTCATTGCTTGATGTCAATAAACTTGTAATAGCCACTGCCGGGTTAACGTCACGCAATTCACCAAAATTTTTAACTGGGGTTTTGATAACAACGTTTCTCTTCATTAGCTGGGTTAACAAAACTACTAAGAACACTCAGAGCCTTAAAACAAAGGGTATTTTGGTGTGCAAGAATACGTTTCTTAAACAAGCAGTGTTCTTAATCTTACTTAAAGGGGTTATTTTTGAAAGAGGCCATAACAAAGGCATCTGCATGGATAAGCCATGGAAATAACACCCTCAATGGTATATTCCTCACTAAGGTCTCAAGGTAAAACCGACCACAATAGCCCGGGAGTGCTTTATTGTTCTAAAGTAGGATTAATTAGTTTCATGTTGTGTTTCCCCTCCATCAACTTCATTTCGTTTTATTTAAGGGTGTCACTTATGTGTGACGTATGGACTAAAGTGGAAACCCCAGAGCGTCACACACATGCAACGCTCGTAGCAAATGTGATAATATTTGGTAATGCTTTTAAGACGTTTTGATCTCGATTTCCTACCCTTTCACATCCCAGTTCAACTCGATTCCTGATCTGAATTACCTATGCTGCAGCAAGCAATGGAGCACAAACACTCAGCGAACCGAGTCAAAGTTTTTATGCTAGTGTTACATTTATACAATCATGTTTGTCTGTAATATACCCACCCAGAAACCCCAATATTCGATGAACAGAATGCCACACTTCAGATAATAGGATATCTATCTGACGTGGCAGTATTTAATAGAGCAGTGAGATAAATCCCCTTGGAAAAATGTTGTCTATTCCTCTATGGTACAGGACCTGTCGGCATGCCTTAAAAACATTGGCACGAGCTGCCACCGAAGGCCACGGCAGCTTGCATGCCGCCAAACTAATCAAGGCGGTAGCGACTCACTCACAGTAGCTACTGTCATCTCAACCTTTTCTTTGCTATGCTAGCGACAATTAGACCTCCACTTTTTTTCAAAAAAGTGGCCCCCTTGCATATAATCTAGTTTTTGTATAATGTAGTGGAAAATTCACTGATTACTTACGTACAGGTAAGAATTCCCCCATTGTATGTCGACAATTTCGGCTAATTTTGAATGTAGCTTGTTTACGTTGGTGAGCACCAGCGGGAACAATTTGAATGACAAGTGGTTAGAGGTTACTGGGGTTAGGCCAATTGGAAACATGGATACAACGTTCTGCTAGTCAAAACAGAAATTAATCACTACCCTTACCGCCGATTTAAAAATACAATTTGTGGAGAAATATTTTTCGAGTTGCATCTCAAAACCAGCACTATCCGGGTTAACTTTAGTAAAGTAGTGAGTATGCGGGTAGGTTAAATTAGTCTGTTAGTCAAAAAAACGGAATTTGACCCCACTATCTTGTATTCACAAGGTCCTTAGAGTACAATACTTTACAGATTGTGCTTAATTGGTCTGTTAAATTGCACTTTAATATCTCAAATAGTTTTCCCAACATAGGAACCTAATTTTCGTTTGTTAGAATTTCAACCCTTTGAGGCAGCATGGTAGTAACTTTCAGACGGCAGAATCAAAGGCTCTGGAGTGGTAAGCTGTAATCGTGAAGTGCATATTGACAGGGGACAAAAATAGTAGGGAAGAGGTAGTGATTTTCACTTGTAAGGACGGCTCTAGAAACGACGCTATTCGCCAAAAATTTCCATATAAATCACCTTCTCTTTCATTTGAGATCATATAAACAGCAATAGGCTACAAATAATAAGAGAGAAAGCAAATTTAGCAATCAGTATCAGAAGAAAAAAACGCTTTGGCATTTATCTGACAAGAAAGCCATCAAATTCATCCTAAACTGGTCATTTTGCAAACTAAAACCCAGCAGCTACCAAAAAAGTGCACGACAATAAATTGCTGATATTTATTAAGGAATAAGTTTCTTTCAAGTTAAGCCATCAATTAACATTAAGATAAGCAACCCTAAAGTCTTTCAACCAACCTCTGATGGATAAAACCCATTGCCTAGGCCTCCTCCCCCTTGTTCACCACCACCATTACCTCCACATTCCCATTGACGGTCTCTGTCTTCTCGAGGTTCTCTACCTTCGTGTACCCATTCGAAGGTTTGACAATGTTCGAGAGAAGAGCCTCGTGACTCCTCCTGCGTTCTCCCAGACCCTTCTTATCCCTTGTGGTACAGAAAGACTTATGCTTGCGGTAGATGATGGTCTGGAATGCCATCATTGCGCCAAACATTTGGCTGAAGCCGAGAAAGAGAAGGGCCACGCGGTAGTCTCCAGTGACATCTTTCAGGATCCCTAAAAGTCGCGCGGATGTCATGAGAAAATTTCCACAACTGGAGACTCACGTGTGTGAGACTTCAGGATGGGTTACGCTAAGTAGATGTCCTCGATCCTGCAATCACGACAGCTAATATAAATAAGTAATGAATAAATAAGCAATCAGCTAGAAAAAGAGGCTATACCTTACTCCAATACACTCTTAATTTCTAACTAGATTCTTATTCAATATAGACATGGGATTTCGACTCTTGGGCAAATAAAATGGACATCGAAATAACAGCTTTAAATGTCTAGTCCGAAGTCCACGACATGGCCCCCCTTCAAAATTCCTTTTCTTTCAACGTTGAACATATTCTCACTTCAAAATGAATTTCTCAGATAAAATAAGCTTGGTTTATGCTTAAAAGTCCCAAAATTGTTGAAGTGTAATAAGATGGAGCCTTGCTATAAGGTGCTTCCAAGAAAACGAAATTAAATGCGATAAGGTGCAAGCAAATGCTAAATTCATCCATTTAACTGCGGAACTTTAATGGGAAAATCCATTAAACCGATCAACAATGAAGGAATAAATGAAGCCCAGGAACAAAATTCAACCCCGGTATCAGCATCACTGCTTGCTAATTCTACACGGAAATTGTGAAAATGCGTGCACAAGATTTTGAATAAAGAGCTTCCAGTGACTGGACCACAAAACCCACAATAACCCTTTGATAGCAATTTGAAAACAGGGCTCTTGGTCGGAAAAGCGCCATCCTCAAGGCAGTAAACAGGACTGCCGCTTTTAAGGTTTGTAAAAAGACGGAAATTCGACACGTTGATGTATTGAAACTAGAAGCAAACCTACAGTATTCTCACGCTTCAAATGAAGAGTTTGTAGAAGCCTATTAAAGGTCCGTTTTTCATAAAAGTTTCCTACTTGAAATTTGTCGTTCACCATGGTAATGAGGAGAGCGCGAGAGCACACAACTCAAAGGTAACAAAAAGAAAACAGACCCGACAAATACACTTATAAAAGGCTGTATATCGGTGAATGTGCCTTTTGGCACTTTGTAATGTTTTAACAATCTCAACAAAAAACGCCCAATGCTTTCATTTTTGACTCACAGACTGATGCAATTTAAACTTCAAAAGTCCTTTGCTTATGCCACATGAAGGCAAATATCGTCACACATTACTTTAACAAGAAGGAAAATACTCATGAAATATGGTAACTGATCCCGATGACTGTTTGACGCAGCTAGATGTACTTTCTGCGCTGCTGCATTGCAAAACAAGGAGAGGTAAACAATGACCAATCACGAATGATCTAAGGTGATGTCGACCCCCATTAGCATACCTTTCTTTTCCTTGAAAACACCCAGCGTTAGTTGCACGAGGCAAATGTCTGGTAGAGGAAGAACCTGTTCAATAGAGCGCTAACCGCAACCAAGAAGTAAAAAAAACCGCAAGCTCCATCCCTCACACCATTTCTAGTTTGAATAGTGATGACTGACTAAGACCTTATTGCTTTAAATATGTCAGCTGCACCTACTTTTGACAATTTACAGAGTTAATAACGAAGTAAGCTTTTTGATACTTGCATTGCATTTCCACTTTACCATAATCAGACGACCCAAAAATCATGTTTTTGAATGGCGCAGTAGATTTAGTGCAAAGCACCTAAACACGAAAGGGAAAGGTGACAATGACTGTGTTGGCAACAAAAACATCACCCGACATAATATTTATCACAAAATTTGAGTGGTTTCAGGAATCGTCAGTTTGATAAACTTAGAAGACGCAGTTCTGTTTATCGTGGTTTGGAGTAAACACTAGGTCTGCTTCCACTTTTTGTTAATTAATCAGTTCCGCGTTTCATTGTTGAAAATGGCAGTAAATGGATTGTGCGCTACTTTGTTGCTAGTGCTTGATTGTACGCAGCTAGTCGATCATTTCCAATTAAAAACAGCTTGAAGTACTGCAATGAGTACAGCACTTCAGTGAAGAACTCGGAGGCGTGCCTCGTCGCCCCTTAAGCTCCACTTGTTTGCCAAGACTGATCTGAAGTGGGCCTATCTTTAGACGCAATTGGTCAAATCATCTAGTAATTTCACCAGTGTTCCAGAAATGGATAGCTTCTTTGTGTCGCAGCTAGTGCTTCAGAAAATCCGCGCATGATTTTTTGCTTCGTCCGTATATGAAACGTTTTCAACTGTTCAGTGTTGCGATTAAACTGTTTTAGGTGTTAACAAACTCACATGGTAATAGTCCCAAAGCAGATCCTGAAAGATCATTGCCATTAGTGAACTCAACCTCACCAACAAAGGTGCAGAAACTTCGTTCCATTCTAAACGCGCTCCAATGCCAAGCACTTTTAATTCCCAACTCGGCTCGCCACGCCTGATGTTTGTTTGAACTTTTATCCAACAAAGATTTCCTCAGGCTCCTGCTCACGAAAAGATACTCAGTGCTGTTTGCTACCTTCATTTGGCTGCAGTAGTGAAACCTTTATCTGGTAGGGAACATTTTACTCGAATAGCTGATAAATCACTCATTCGAACAGGAGCAATTCCTGAACTGTGTGATTGCACCTCTTATCTATGTCTTGTTCTCTCATGAAGGCTGAACTTTATTTTCAGAGGGATTGTCAAAATGTTCCGCAAAAGTAGTTTGAAAAGCCTTTCACTATTGCCACCGATCATGAAGCAATGAAATTTTTGCATTATCCTGCGACATCACCTGGCAATCCATCTGCAACCACGAAGCAGCAACAAAGCATTGCGCTAGCGTTTTACAACCACAGTGTCACACACCGTGGTGTGAAACCTATTTTCCACGCTTATTACTTGTCTCAAACTGCAGGTGGTGAATTTGACCCTGGCGGATCCGATTGCTTGCCAGTACAACCGTTGCCACTCACACCAGATCAACATGTGCGTGGTTATTTGTAAGGATCCTCCGCTTTGCGTCGAGAATGGAAGCAGCATTAGCAATGCAAACTTTCAGTTTTTCCCTACCACCGTGACTACCTATGACTCATGGTGGATTATTATGCTATAGTGATCATGTAGCTATACAACCGGCTCGAAAGAATGGTATTTGTGTGGATCAGCATTCAGGCCGTCTGGCTGCTAAAAAAATCTCTGGTAAGACTTGCTTGCTAGTAGCTAGAGGTGGGTTAAGGCACCAAATGTACTGCAACGAATTGTGTCAACTGTGTGCAAAAAAAATTCATTCTAAGCTATCGAAGTGGCCTAAGTGACCTGATGCCTGTGATGTGCTCCAGCGTGTACAGGCTAATTACTGTGGAAGACTGAAGTAACTTCTATGTTATTTAGCTTCTATTTCTACTGATCACAACTTCATTGAGTGTTGAGGCTATCTGGTGAGATTTAAAACGAGTAACAGCCGTGAAGACGTACCAGTTGTGTGAATAATAACGGCCCTTCACTTCGCTGCTATTCGACATCCGCAACTCAATAACCTTAAGGGGAATTTCATCAAGTATTTCGAAGAGTGCTTTGAAATCTCTGTCACTAATAGCTTTTATGGGTTTGAGTCGTAGGTCTGCTAACTGTTTGATGTTATATAGAGGTATCACCCATTCTGTTGTCGTGCGGAGTTCAGCTCAGCTCTTTAAAGCAGGTTTGCTATGTACCAGTCCCGAATGCAGCAAAGCATCAGGTGTTACATTCTTCAAAGGCGCTAATCCACGTCATGCTGCTGGTGTAGTTCTTTCCTCTATCGAGAAATGCACAGCAAATATTATTGATTTGGAATACCCATTGTACTATCAATGACACGCCGATCAGGTTGAGTCCAAACAAGCCGTCTGCAGATAAAGCCGACTCGATTAGAGGGGATGAAATTCTCGCGGAATCTGCTGTCAGAAGATCACTGGTATCAAGACCAAGACTGCGGATTCATTCCACAAGTAGTAGATGTGGTGGACGTAAATACCACCTACTTTACTATCTCATTCTTGTTACTGTTTTATTGCTACATAGTTTCAAGAAGCACTTTTACGATTAAGAAGTTTACCTCTGACCAATGGTCGTGCCAAGTTCTATTCTCGCACATTCCATGGTACCTTTGCTGTACTAAAGGTTCATCCCCTTCATCGTCACAGGAGCCTCATTCAATGCTGATTTTCTCGCAACACAGCATTCGTGATAATGGCACTTCACTGTCTGTTTATATTGATAAAAGCAAGGGTCAGTGCTAAGTGTCATCAACTAAATATTGAAATAAAATATTGGACTTCAGAGGATCAAAGCAAAAATTTGCATCTACATTAATTCAGTTTCTGAGAGCGATGACTATATCAAAGGTGCAGTTTCATAAGTAAACTAGAAAAAGTGCATGAAATTAGGGTGTTGTTGACGTAAGAACCACACCTCTACCTTTTTCGACCATCAATGCCTACTCAATATGTCAGTCTATCACGAGGCACATGGTAAACGCCAAAAAATTTTTTTGGATTCAAGCACTGAGACTTCTTGAAAGAGTGACTACCGGCATTCAGTGTGTTTCTTTCGAACACTGTAGCTGAAATGTCGACTAATTATTTGTTGCTTTTCTGGAACATGTAAATGCAATGGACCATGGTATTCAAACGTGAATGCAACATGCTTTGATGAGTATACTACTAATGCAACAAAAAGTACAAGCAAATCAACTTTATTACTAAGTAATTGGGAAGCTAGCGTCACACTGACATTCAAAAATCACGATTTGGATTGAGCAATATTTACTGTAAATATACGCCTTGTAATTGGTTAATTTTTGCTATCAAACTCTAATGAACAAAATCTACTACCATTTGGAGGGAAATTGAGTAACCTTATTATAAAAACAGGTGTTCATTTGGGGGCTGAATGTCCTCACGATTACGGGGAGTATCAACAAACTGACTGCTAAAATATTTTGATATTCTTTAATGGTTAACTCGGTGACAATAAAGCGTTAGTTCGTTATATTTCGACATGTCCCCCACACTCTTGGAAACTACTAATATAGACAGGAGATCCACACACTTATTGCACATGGATTTCGTTTAAAAAAAACTAAAATCTCACTTTTCCCGAAACAAGTAGTGAAAATAAAGGAGGATGTGTATTGAAAGCTCGAGTTAAGATAAATGGAACTACTTCGCACTACCGAATAAGGTATCTATACGGACCTAAAAAGCTAACATTCAAATAACTAAATTTCCTGTTGAACAATCATGCCCTAAGTATGGACAGGAAATCCACAAATCTATCTCTTATTAATTTATTTCTAGGAATGCAAATACAAGTACTAGAAAAGCGTTGTCAGCCGTTGTGCAACAAAATAACACTACCTGTTTATGGTTTTGATAGATCAAAACTGTGAAAGACTTACCCGAAATTAATGAGCCCAGAAGTATGCCGATACCCTTGGAAAGTTGGGTCATGCCAATGGCATGCGGAAGTAGACCCGATTCCTTTGGTTTGTCGCACATGTCACAAGTCATAAGGGTTTGGTGGGAAATGTAGATGGCCAAAAAGAGACCCCGAAAGCCCATAAGCACAGCCATGCCAGTAAAGTTTGTAATAGCCGCGAAGAGACATACAACTATCCCACAGCTCAGGATATCTGCACACCAGATTATTCCTCGTACTTTCTTCAGTGTCTTTTGATCAAACAGCAAACCGGACAAACTTCTCGCTACAATTTGAACTCCACCCTCGATTGCAAAGAGGAATACGGAGACACGAAGCTCCATCTAAAGGTACGCACAATGGAAATCGGGCATGAAAGGATGACGAGAGTATGAACAGGTATTGCTAAATTACGTACCCCTAACTCCTCTGCGTAGTGAATAATGAGCGTTGTAACCGGACCTGATCCCATCATATTGAAGATGAAAGAGGTAATGAAGAGCATGAACAAGACATCACGGAAAAATTCGAAAAAGACAAATTTTGCCCTGATTCGGGCAACAAATGAGGAGTGTTTGGCTGATGAATTTTCTGCACCTTGATCCCCCTTCTTGCTGCTGAAGGGTGTGAAGAAAATAGCGCCGCAAATGCAATAATGCAGCACGACTCCAGCCATGATCAACATTGCACCACGATATCCGAACAGGTGGAGCAGCTTGGCGATCAACTGGGGAATACAAAAGGCTCCAAAACCTGCACCCGAGAGCGAAAGACTAAGAGCAGTTGCGCGACGTTTTTCAAAGTATACGGTGCAGACAACAAGTGTCGGTGTGAATACCAGAGTAAGACCAAAGCCTGAGGACAATTTAATGCAATGAAGATACTTATGACTTTACCGTAGACAAGACCAAAACCAATGAATAGTCCCGATATGGATGCGGTTAGAGCTGATATTATCAATCCAGCGCAAGAAAGCAATCCACCGGAAATAACGACAGACTGAATGGAATATTTGTCGCATAGCATAACAGCAATAGGAGCTAAAACTAACATGGTTATTTGGACAGATACCTAAGATGAGGCGAACGGCCGCACACATCCCGCCCAAAGCAGCAGCTGTAGCTGAGTTGGTTGCAAAAACATCAAGGATTTCAATATACCAAAGAGAAAACGCCTTCTCGCAACCAGCCGTTAAAAAGTGGGCAAGAAAAGCACCACACATCACGACCCAGGCCCAGCCTTTGTCTTGGTACTGTTTTTCACTATTTTTCATGGAAGTTTCAGGCTGTATTCTCATAGCCTAGATCATAAATACGGTTATCGGAATAGAATGAGCATCTCAAGTGCGCACAAGCTACCATTGAAGGCAAATTTGAAAAATATAAACAAAACAACTGAATGACCTTAGGAGAACTAGT